TCACCATCATCACCATCATCATCATCACCATCATCACCATCATCACCATCATCATCATCCTCATCATCACCATCATCATCATCACCATCATCATCATCATCATCATCATCATCATCATCGTTTCTCTGCTGCTGCGGTTCAAAGGTCAAGCTGAAGTCTCTCAGAAAGTCTGATCTGTTGATTCGATCTGAACTCTGGGTTTTATTCTGTGAACAGTTTTAATCTTTAAAATGGTCGATCAGTATTTGAATGTGATTTACGACTTGTTAAATAAATCTTCTGTAAAAGCTTTTCATCTCATGTTTTTATGTCATTTATCTTCATACAGCCTGATAACTTTGGCAGAATATTATATTCCTCATGTTTTTATTTATCTGAGAAACAAAAAAAATTACAACAAAAGCAACAAAAACTGAACAATTTGAAGAGTTCCTTAAGAGATTAGGATCCAGATTAAAACCATTTCAGATTAATTTAAATTATTCTGGAACAAAATTGTTGCTTCTTAATATGAAAGAAATTAACAGAAAATTGTGGAGCATATTGTTTAAAAAGCATCAGCTTCCAGTGAAAGATGGAAAACTTGAAATGACAACAAACTCCTGCAGAAACATTTGATGAAACAACTTTGAGTTCATGATTCACGTTTTTCATTTAACATCCTATTCAGTATTTTTGGCACCAAGACTTAACAATAAGCAGTTTCAACTGATTTCTATAAAGATTTACTGGACTTTCACAAACAAACAGGAGCTGAGTGGGAAGAGCTGGGTTTTCATCAGTTGATCAGCAGCAGATCTGATCAGGGAACAATGAACAGGTGAGGCTGATTAAGGACCTGAGTAACAGCTGCGAGGAGGAAATGATCCAGAAACCATGAAACACGACAGAGAGACGGAGGAGAAATTACCAGCAAATTACCGTCAAAATGAAGCAGCGAAACAAACGACACAATTCAGTTCAGCTCGATTAGCAGCAAAGCACTTCAAAAAACAGAAATCATTTCAACTCAGTTCTACATGTTTCAGTTAATAATAGTGATCAATTAGTGTACTAATATCAGTTTGTAAGTTTAAAAAGTTTTTCTGTTTGGAAATCCAGCAGAGCTCTGAGTTGTTGACCCACAGCATCACTCCTCCTGACCAGCAGGGGGCCACAGAGGAGAGGAAACACTGTAAGGGGAAGAAAGTTCGTTTGAAGAAATGATGATCTTCCTGTTGGAGAGGCTGGGCGATGTTTCCACTTCCTGTTGGAGAGGCTGGGCGATGTTTCTACTTCCTGTTGGAGAGGCTGGACGATGTTTCTACTTCCTGTTTGAGAGGCTGGAAGATGTTTCTACTTCCTGTTGGAGAGGCTGGCTGATGTTTCTACTTCCTGTTTGAGAGGCTGGATGATGTTTCCACTTCCTGTTGGAGAGGCTGGACGATGTTTCCACTTCCTGTTGGAGAGGCTGGACGATGTTTCTACTTCCTGTTTGAGAGGCTGGATGATGTTTCCACTTCCTGTTGGAGAGGCTGGACGATGTTTCTACTTCCTGTTGGAGAGGCTGGACGATGTTTCTACTTCCTGTTGGAGAGGCTGGACGATGTTTCTACTTCCTGTTAGAGAGGCTGGACGATGTTTCCACTTCCTGTTGGAGAGGCTGGACGATGTTTCCACTTCCTGTTAGAGAGGCTGGCTGATGTTTCTACTTCCTGTTAGAGAGGCTGGACGATGTTTCCACTTCCTGTTGGAGAGGCTGGACGATGTTTCCACTTCCTGTTAGAGAGGCTGGCTGATGTTTCCACTTCCTGTTGGAGAGGCTGGCTGATGTTTCTACTTCCTGTTTGAGAGGCTGGATGATGTTTCCACTTCCTGTTGGAAAGGCTGGACGATGTTTCCACTTCCTGTTGGAGAGGCTGGACGATGTTTCTACTTCCTGTTAGAGAGGCTGGATGATGTTTCCACTTCCTGTTGGAGAGGCTGGACGATGTTTCTACTTCCTGTTGGAGAGGCTGGACGATGTTTCTACTTCCTGTTAGAGAGGCTGGACGATTTTCACTTCCTATTAGAGAGGCTGGACGATGTTTCCACTTCCTGTTGGAGAGGCTGGACGATGTTTCTACTTCCTGTTAGAGAGGCTGGACGATGTTTCCACTTCCTGTTGGAGAGGCTGGACGATGTTTCCACTTCCTGTTAGAGAGGCTGGACGATGTTTCCACTTCCTGTTAGAGAGGCTGGACGATGTTTCCACTTCCTGTTGGAGAGGCTGGACGATGTTTCTACTTCCTGTTGGAGAGGCTGGACGATGTTTCCACTTCCTGTTAGAGAGGCTGGACGATGTTTCCACTTCCTGTTGGAGAGGCTGGACGATGTTTCCACTTCCTGATGGAGAGGCTGGACGATGTTTCCACTTCCTGTTGGAGAGGCTGGACGATGTTTCCACTTCCTGTTGGAGAGGCTGGACGATGTTTCCACTTCCTGATGGAGAGGCTGGACGATGTTTCCACTTCCTGTTGGAGGAACTCTGCTCTGCAGACAGAGGCCGTTAGAATCTGAGTGAATCTTTGATTGAGATAAAACATGCGGAGCAGAGCGCCGACCCCGCTGACGTCACAGGAAGTTAATTCCCCTCCTGCATGGCTAATCACGTCAGCGCTGCAGGAGCAGAACGGAGACGTGACCCCGGGACTCTGAGGTCAACACGGCTGACAGCTCAGGTCCAGTGCGGTGGCGCCGCCGCCTTCTGGGTCTGCTTGAGCAAAAACACATTCATTAATGTTAGCTTGCGGCGCAGAGCTCGAATTATTCCTAAATGAACAGAAGAAATGAACAAACCAGGCAGCAATTAAACAGACTGTTCAATAAATTGGAATATTATTGAAACTTTATTCCAGAAAATCAATCAATGAAATGAAACATTAATTGTTACATCAATTCCACCCAGACTGATGTGTTCAAGCCTTTATTTCTGTTATTTGTGACAACAAATTAAAACATTTTTAATATCATTACCTTCCTAACATATTTTTTTGACAAAAGTAATTAGTATATAGTTTACTATTTAGCTGACATTAATGCTATTAATCACAGAAACTGTAGAAATTGCAGCATCGTTTGCAGCATTTTTTCATGACTTTGATGTGAGTTTTGGTGACGGATCGACTCAAATTATTCTGAAGGAAAATCTGAACATCTGAAGGCTTCAGACTCAGATTTCCTCGAGTTTTTCTGCAGGATCCTCTGTTATAAAGTCTGATAATCAACTTTAATATTTTTGTGCTGTTTTGTGCAGGTGACCCAAATTAAAGCTGCACAAATTTCAGGACAAATGTTAATTTTATGCATTTCATCTTCTTTCCTGTTTTCATCACGTTTCGTTCCTTCCATCAGCAGATATGATTTAATACTAGAAGGACATGTTTTATCACTTTTACATATTTTATTCCTGCAGCCTGAAACAAACAGCCGTTCAGAACCTTTTCCTTCTGCAACCACTGATGGATCATCATTTGAAACCGAAAAAAGAGAATGAATTAAAACTCAAATGATGAACTGGATACGTTTATATTTATATATAGTTTGTTATTGTTTGTTTTCCATCTATCTTTGTTTTTAGTCTGGTTTTGATATTTCTTAAATAGTTTTGATGTATTTTCTGAGTGTTTTCCTAAACCTTTTTCAAATCTGACAAAATCATCATCGTCAAACGTTTGTGCAGCAAAAGATTCATTGTAAAAATATTGAAGAAGCTTCTGGAGGTCATCAGAGGTCACCATTAATATTAACACAAATGTAGTTTGACTTGAAGAAGGTGGCTGGTTGACCTTTCATGACCTCTGGACAATTTTATTAATATCTTTAACATTTTTGGCACAAAAGAAACTTTTTGCAGCACAAACGTTTGACACAGTTTTTGTTTGATTTGAAGCGGGTGGAGCCGACCTTTAACCTCAACATTTCTGCCCCAGAGTTCCTGGAAGCTGGAATCCCTTTTCAGGGAGAAACCGTCTGAAACCTGTTGCTGTAAAACGTTTCACTAACAGCTTTACTCTGCTGCCTGGACGAAAGACCAACTGAACAAAAGTTCTGATAGGAGAGAAATGAAAGGGATGCAGAACTGAAACCAGATTATTTTCCTCCTGCAGCTACGATTTGTTTCATGAACAGCTTCTGTTATTAAGCTAAGAACTCCAGATCCATTCATTTTAAAGTGATAAAGTTAATGACATCATCTTTATGACTCATGAAGTTCATCCTGATGAGTCGCTGCCCACCCTCTGCTGTAAATAGATCTGCGATCCTAAAGCGCTCTGATCTCAAGGCAACCGCATCATGGATGCCAGGTCACCGTGGCAACGCGACGACATGGGCCTTGAATGAGTTTTGTGATGTAAAGTCAACTTTTCACCAGAGGGAGTTTTGTGCTGCAGCCGGAGGCGGATCGCGCCGACATCATGGTGACCAGGCTCATTTTGATTTTCAAAGCTTTTATAAAACAAAAGAACAAAATCAATGAAACAGCATAAATAGAAACAGGAGAGTAAGTTCAACAGATTAGTAAAATTCAACATTTACTGGTAATTTCTAATAAATGTGACTTATAGTTACACATGTCTGTAAAATGACTCATTACTCATTTCTGCTCAACAATAACGAAGCATCAGAATGAAAAGAGCTGCAGAGAAAGCAGAAATATTTTTACTGACGCACAGAAAGATGTTTTTGTTGCTCTAAATAATAAGTGACATTGAAAAAGGCAGAAATATTTCAGAGACATCATTTCTTCATTTGGAGAGTTTTTCTCTTTTCTGTCTCTTTGTGATCTTCCTGCTCATCTCTTCCTGGCTGTTTCTGAACTTCAGAGCCGCCGGACTCGGTTCTGGATCCGCCGTAACGAGCTGCTGGGCCTGGAGCCGCGGAACACAGAGTCCCTCATTACGGACACAACAGACGGACCGGTACCAGAACCGAGCAGCTGCAGCTGTAACGAGCCTCAGGACGGCCAGCGGCCATGAAGGTCAACAATTAGAGCCGCCGGCGGCCATGTTGGCGGCGGACATGTTGGCGGCGGCCATGTTGGCGCCCGTGTTGGCGGCGGCCATGTTGGTGGTGGCCATGTTGGTGGCGACCATGTTGGCGGTGGACATGTTGGCGGCGGACATGTTGGCGCCCATGTTGGCGGCGGCCATGTTGGCGGCAGACATGTTGGTGGCGGACATATTGGCGGCCATGTTGGCGGCGGACATGTTGGTGGAGGCCATGTTGGCGGCGGACATGTTGGCGGCGGCCATGTTGGCGCCCGTGTTGGCGGCGGACATGTTGGTGGTGGCCATGTTGGTGGTGGCCATGTTGGCGGCGGACATGTTGGCAGCGGACATGTTGGCGGCGGACATGTTGGCGCCCATGTTGGCGCCCATGTTGGCGGCCATGTTGGTGGCGGCCATGTTGGTGGCGGCCATGTTGGCGGCAGACATGTTGGCGGCGGCCATGTTGGCGGCGGCCATGTTGGTGGTGGCCATGTTGGCGGCAGACATGTTGGCGGCGGCCATGTTGGCGGCGGCCATGTTGGTGGCCATGTTGGCGGCGGACATGTTGGCGCTCATGTTGGCGCCCATGTTGGCGGCCATGTTGGCGGCGGACATGTTGACGGCGGACATGTTGGCGGCGGACATGTTGGCGGCATGTTGGCGGCGGCCATGTTGGCGGCGGCCATGTTGGTGGTGGCCATGTTGGCGGCAGACATGTTGGCGGCGGCCATGTTGGCCACGGCCGGTTTGAAATGATGTGTCTCTACTGCTTCATAGTTTAACTTTAATACCCAGAATCCTTACATTTCGGGTAATTTCAGGGTTTTGATGTTTTGAACTCTGACCTTCTTTTTGTCTCGTTGTTACCATGGTTACTGGTTTAGCTAAATCCATCCTGGTTTTTCTCTTCATCGTTCTGAGCAAGTCGATAAAATCTGAGATGAAAACCAATAAATCCAGCTGCAGCTTTTAGTGAAGCTCGACTAAAACATTCATTTATGGTTTTATTTTCTTGTTGCATCTTCATCCAGTTTGATTCCTTTAAACTATAAAATCCTTTGAATCGTTCGTGTCGCTCTGCAAACTTTCAGAAAACCAAACCTGGAACTCTTACGATTTTTATATATTCCTTCATTTTTACTTTATAATATGGTTTGAAAATAACAGAACCAGTGATTTACAGCCAAGCTGAATCAAAAGTGAATAAGAAATAAAGTGAAACTTATTGATCTTTATCTTCTAAATCATGAGCGCCCCCTCCTGGTGCTGCCCTGGGTAACAGCCGTATATTAATGTGTGTATTATTTATTTTGCAGAAAATAATTGTAGATATTTACAGACTCACTGAAGCTGCCTCAGCATGGCGGTTAATCACGAGCTGATTGGTCAGGAAAACGTTTCCTTTAAAGTTAAATGAGGAAACAAAGTCACACTACTAAAAGTAGCTCTGACCTTTAACCTCACACCCCCTCAGCACCTAAAGTCTATTTAAGGTTTTATTACTGCTCCTCCCCAGCTGGCTTTATTTATAGAGGATAATCATTTTCAGAAAGTGATATCATCATTACTCATATTTTGATGAGCGAATCTGTTGAGGTCAACGCCGCCGCCGCCACGCCGCCGCCATGCCGCCGCCATGCCGCCGCCGCCGCCGCCGCCATGCCGCCGCCACGCCGCCGCCGGATCGTTCATCAGTTTCCCCCTGAATCCTAAATTAGAGACGAGGTTTGAGTCACTAATAACACATGGGTCACACAAATCATGAGCAAAACTCTGAATCAGGACCAATAAACCAGAATAAACCAGAATAAACCAGAACTTCTGCTTTACTGTGATTTTACTCAGGAAAATATGCAAATTCTCATGTATGGAATATTTGTGTATATTAATGTTTTTGAAGTGTAATGAAGTAATTTCACAGATTGAATCTAGATTAATCTAGATTAGGATTATGAAGCAGCTCACATTAATCAATGTTCTCCATAAAAGATCAGCAGCATAATTGAACTAATTAATCCAGAATAATCTGCATTATTACACATCAATAAAATCAAGTAAAAAATCTGATGATTTTTTTATGATCCAGTTATTAAATCATCTAAAGTTTTTATTTGAAATTCAGCCTTCAGTAAAGTTTATTCATTAAACAGAAATTAAAGCAGATTTTAGTCTCATGTTTTTAAAGTTCATCATTAATAAAATCTGCTGTTCAGGAAAAGTTCTGATCCAGAAAGTCTCAGTTTGACTTCAGGAGAAAAAACATTTGAAAAACTTCTGGATTATTCTTGAAATTAAACCACAAAGATGGGAAAAAGAAGTTTCACTTTAATCCAAAATAAAAGCCAGAGAGTTGGCAAACCAGCAGTTCTTCTTTTTGTCTCATAATCTGGATTAAATATGAAGTGGAACAGAATAAACACACCATCATGAGGGAGATATGTCTGTGTTTTCCTTTAAGAAGCGACCAGAAGCTGAAATTTGTTTGCTTTGCAGAGCGAAGCCTCAACTGGATGGAACTGAAAGCAACTCGGTTTCCTTCCTGCAGAGAAAATGACAACAAACAGAAAACAAGATGGCGTCCGTCCCGTCAGAAAGAACCCGGCAGCAGAAACACGTCCTGCCTGCAGCCGCCTGCTCAGACCCGCAACGTCTGCAAATTCAATGAAACATTCAAGTTCATCCAGTTACGAGATGAATTATCCAGATTCAGTTCATCAGAAAAAGGTTTTTCAGTAAAATCAGAAGAATTGATGTTTGGTTGATAATCTGGACTGCAAAACGTTTGGTGAGCGAATGTGAAGCACGGTGGTGGCAGCGTCATGCTGCAGTGATGCGGCTCTTTAGCAGTGAACAGATGTGATGCTTCCAAACACTCACTGATCAAAGTCCATCTTTTATTGTGAAAATTGATCAGCGTAATGATTGAAGGAAAACGGTCAAATCTTCATGAACTGAAGCTGGAGGTCAAAGTTCGGTTTAATTTGGGAATTCTGGGATGTTGGTCATCATGTGGAGAATAACAGCATCGCGTCGAACACATGGAAGCATGTTCAGAACAGGCTTCATCTTCTTTATGGCGGTTAGAAGTGAGTTAGCGCCACCTAGTGGATCAGAGGATGAAAGTATTTAACACAGATTTTAAAACTAAAGATAAATAACTAATAATAATAAAACTACATTTTCTGTTAATTTCATAATCGAACGTGACAACAAACGTCTGACCAATCACAACCCGGCTCATTGGCTTGACTCTACGTATTTCCGGTGAACTTTGACCCCGGTGAAGTTCGTGTTCAGCTCGGTTTTCGTCCATGAACTCAATAAAAAATTAAAATGAGTTCAAATCTGTTCCGGTTGAGTCTGTCTTTATTTGGTGTTTTCCGTTTTGTTTTGATGTTTTCCGTTTTGTTTTGATGTTTTCCGTTTTGTTTTGATGTTTTCCATTTTGTTTTGATGTTTTCCGTTTTGTTTTGATGTTTTCCGTTTTGTTTTGATGTTTTCCGTTTTGTTTTGATGTTTTCCGTTTGTTTTGATGTTTTCCGTTTTGTTTTGATGTTTTCCGTTTTGTTTGATGTTTTCCGTTTTGTTTTGATGTTTTCGTTTTGTTTTGATGTTTTTGTTTTGTTTTGATGTTTCCGTTTTGTTTTGATGTTTCCGTTTTGTTTTGATGTTTTCCGTTTTGTTTTGATGTTTTGTTTTGTTTTGATGTTTTTGTTTTGTTTTGATGTTTTTGTTTTGTTTTGATGTTTTTGTTTTGTTTTGATGTTTTCCGTTTTGTTTTGATGTTTTCCGTTTTGTTTTGATGTTTTCCGTTTTGTTTTGATGTTTTCCGTTTTGTTTTGATGTTTCCGTTTTGTTTTGATGTTTTCCGTTTTGTTTTGATGTTTCCATTTTGTTTTGATGTTTCCGTTTTGTTTTGATGTTTTCCGTTTTGTTTTGATGTTTTCCGTTTTGTTTTGATGTTTTCCGTTTTGTTTTGATGTTTTTGTTTTGTTTTGATGTTTTCCGTTTTGTTTTGATGTTTTTGTTTTGTTTTGATGTTTTTGTTTTGTTTTGATGTTTTCCGTTTTGTTTTGATGTTTTTGTTTTGTTTTGATGTTTTTGTTTTGTTTTGATGTTTTCCGTTTTGTTTTGATGTTTTCTGCGCATGTGTACCGTTTTCATGGTGACGTCAGAACGTCCTGTAAAATGGAGGCAGATATTTTTAATCGATTCTGAATTGTAGTAAATAATAATCGCAATTCTCATTAGCAAAGTTTTTTTTTTACTCCTTTCCACTATATCCAATTATTCAGGCATGGATCTGACTAAAAGGTAAAGATCTGACTGACCTTTGACCTCTGAGAGGTGAAAGAGTGAATGCAGAGCAGTGAAACCTGAAGAGACACCAAACAAAAAAACACATTTCTAGGAACAAAGATATGAAGGAAGAGGAGCAAAGAGTGAACCAGGTATGGAAGTACATTAGTGACAAACAGAAAAACAACCAAAACAATCAAATTAAAATCCAAGAGCAAAAAATATTAAATTCTCCTTTTAAAATCTGGTCTGTTCTGAATATTTTTCAACTTCCTGATAATAAATATTGACAGCTGGTTAAAGAAGAAGTTTCTGATGTGATGATTGTACGGTAAGATTTTTCTCTTTGCGTCATCAGAGCGTGGGTTTCTCTGCAGCAGCAGCAGCAGCAGCAGCTGCAGCGCCGGCCCTTTTTTCCGCTCTGACTCGTCGCTGGGCTTCCTGTGCCTCCGCCAGTCGCTCTGCACTCCAACATGGCCATCAGCAGAAAAGACAGCTTCCTCTGGGGCAAAGGTACGCAGCATACAGCTTTTCACCTCAACCTGGGTAAAAATGCCTTGGCTGCAGGTTTTTCCACGGTTTGTCTGCTTCCAGCTAATGATGATGATGATGATGATGATGATGATGATGATGATGATTTTTACAGGTTTCAGGTGTAGTTTTGGAAACTTCTCTCATTTTAAAGTTTCTGTTTTATTGTGACTTTTGGATCTCATTAATGGTTCAGTTCGTCCAGAAAGAGGCCGAGTCTCAGGTCTCTGGTCTGAGCGCCGGTGATGAGGTTCGCTGCAGACCAGCAGTGTATGTGTGTGTGTGTGTGTGTGTGTGTGTGTGTGTGTGTGTGTGTGTGTGTGTGTGTGTGTGAGAAGGTCGTCCAGCTTTGAATCCTTTCTGCCCCCCACAGCGCCACCGAGGCTCCGACTGGCTGACAGGAGGCAGAGCGACCGCAGCGGCCAACTTGAGCTGCTGGACGACCTGCAGGTACCCAACCTGTCGTTAAAACACACACACACACACACACACACACACACACACACACACACACACACACACACACACACACACACACACACACACACACACACGCACGCCCACACACACACACACACACACACACACACACACACACACACACACACACACACACACACACACACACACACACACACACACACACACACACACACACACACACACACACACACACACACACACACACACACGCACGCACACACGCCCACACACACACACACACACAGGAACAAATCATTGTATTATTTCTGACTGAGGATCAGAAGCAGCTGCAGGTTTTCACATCGTTTCCATTTTTCCCTCAGAAGCTGAAACTGGATCTGACTGATGGAGCCGCCGGATCCGGCAACCCGGACCTGAAGCGCCACAGGTGAGGCTCCGCTCAGGTGGATCCCGGTCCAATCGGGTCCAACCAGACTTTCTTCAGCTGAGTTCTGCTTACTGTGTCAACTTGAACTATTTTTAATCAGAAACCATTTTCAGCTTTTCTTCACTTCCTTCTCTAGCTGCAGTTTTTCCTCCTGAAGAATCGAACGCTCAGTGACGCTTCGTAAAGCTTTCAGGTCCTAAAATAGTTTCAGGCTCAGTTTTAATTCTCTCGGCCTCTCTGACCTGTGCTGGTTTCTGCCTGCTGGCTCAGAGTCAGTCGGTTTGAGGCGTCAGAGGAAAGAAAAGCTGTTGAATTATTTTCAGATGACTGTTGACCCGTTTCTGTACTTCCTCTTGCTTTTGTTGCTGCGTCCAGCGGTTGACGGTAAATGCTGCCAAAACCAAACACACTTTCCTGCAAACTGAACCTCAGACTGCAGAGAAAATGAAAGATCATCTGATGAATGAGACTCAGTTAAACCTGCAGGACGGAGCTGGATTAAAATCGAACACATTCAGTGAACAACATGCATTTACTTTATTTAGCTCAGAGTCTGTGGTTCATCTTCTCTCCTTGTATGCAACTTTGTTTAAATTAAAAATGCAAATTGAACTTGTTTTTTTTAGGTTAACATGAAGCAAATAATGAAAAAAGTTCATTTCTTGACTTTGATTCTCTTGTTCTAGTAAAAGTGTGGTGAGGAACAGGAAGTTTCTACGAGGGAAAAAGAAATTCAACATGGACCCAAAAGTGGTGAGTTTTTATTTTTCTGCACATCCAGTGGCTGTGGGGCTCCCCACATCTCCAGAGGTCAGAGGTCACTGACCTGCAGCAGAACTCCAGAGGATTTTACATTCATCACATCAATGGGATTTTTCTGCTTCGTTTGTCTCAGTTCAGTTGAAATCAAACCTGATGGTTTTAATGGTTTACTGCAAAAACATTAAATCTCACCAAGTGTTTATGTCTAGCTTCTGCTGCAAACGTCTCATTACAGTATAAATAAGACAACACTGAGTGAGAAGCAGCTTTTCAGCAAGTTGTCGGAGATTATTGAAGATTATTGACGTCAGTAATTATTGATTACAAAGTCAGCAGGTTATTCCACTTATAAAATATTCAAATTATTTTATTTCAAGTGAGACATATACAACAATATATATACAACAACAAACAAGACAAATATTTTCATCAATATTAAGGAATCATTGACACAAACCTATTTCTGCTGAAAGTGACTTCTGAGTTTCTAGTTTACTGAAACATTTCCACTGGTAACTAAACCAGACGTCTTGGTAAGATGGAGATTTTTCGGTGCAGCAGCTCAGTGTGTGATGCAGTAACGGAGCTGCCTGCAGAGAAAAGCCACATCCTGTTCCTCACCGAGCCGCAGAGGCGCTCTGAGTTTTACTGACACCATTCAAAATGGAGAAGTGATCAATTCGCTCTGCTTCTCTGCTGAAGCAGCACGTCTGGTGGCCGTGACTCAAAAAGATGAAGAAGGAAACCTTTAAGATGTGAGACGTGATGCTTCTGGTTGATAAGAGCAGCAGATGAGGCGCCCTGATGCCAGGGTGTGATGTCATTTCCTGTGAAACACTGTTTTCCTGCAGGGCGTCGGCTACCTGGTGGAACACGGCATCCTGGAGTGGCGAGCCGAATCAGTGGCAGAGTTCCTCTACAAGGAGGAGGGGCTTAACAAGACCGCCATCGGCAACTTCCTGGGAGAACGGTACGCCAGGCCAAAGGTCAAAACGAAGGTCAAAACAGGAAGTTCACTGGAGGAGAGCAGCATGAACCATCCAATCAGCTTTATTGATTAAAACTTTCAAAACCAAAGAGCGGCACAGTCAAAGTAAAAACATAAAAAAAGGTTTTATTCTACCTAGAAATATTGTTTTATTGAGCAAAAACAAATATTTGACTGTAGAAATGATCAGGAATCAAAAAAAGAAACTTAATTAAAATAATAAAAAATATTACTTCATAAAATAGGATGAATAAAAATGTATTAATTAATAAAATAAGTTCAACTATGTCAAATAATAAAGTACAGCAAATTAATTACAATTTTTCTATAAAGTTAGCCAAGGTAAATTTAAAGAAAAAAAATAAAAGGAAAATATTCAGAAATTCAAATGAAACAAAATAATAAAATCTGAAAAGCATACTTAAAAATAAATATTTAAATTTTGTATGAATTGTTTCAGGCAAAATCAGGCAAAAAGGTTCAGTCTGAAACAGTTTTTACTAATATTATTTATGCTCATGTTGTTATTATTCTGATTTTCAATTCATCTTGAAGGCATCATCACCATGGCATCGATTTTGCATTGTTACATTTTCTATTTTTCACAAACTTTAAAGCACCAATGAGAGGACAGGAAACTTTTGGGGGCAGGACCAAAAATGGGCGGAGCTACTGCAGCAGCATTTAGCCACACCCCCTGGCTCCACCCACAAGTCGATCCTTTCAGTTTGAAATTCTGTAGTGTGAATTTGTTCCTCTAATTTGTTTAGTTTTTCTGAGATCATAAATGAAATGAAGGGTTTGGAAGTTTACTCTGCAGGTTGTTGTTGAAGTCGATCTGATTGGCTGTGAATGTCACACAGGGAGGAAATGCACCTGAAGGTCCTGAAGGCATTCGTGGCTCTGCATGAGTTCTCCGACCTGAATCTGGTCCAGGCGCTGAGGTTTGTGACAACGGGATGAAATATTCATTTTATTTAAATTTATTCCGTTTTTCTCAGTATAAATGATTCTCAGTTTTTACCAGCGTTGGCTTCTCTTGATGTGTGTTTGAATAAATCTGCTGCCAGGCAGTTTCTGTGGAGCTTCCGGCTCCCAGGTGAAGCGCAGAAGATCGACCGGATGATGGAGGCGTTCGCGGCGCGTTACTGCGACTGTAACCCTGGAGTGTTCCAGTCCACAGGTACGACTCACCGTCCAATAGAAACGCTCTGCTGCTTCACCGTCCAATAGAAACGCTCTGCTGCTTCACCGTCCAATAGAAACGCTCTGCTGCTTCACCGTCCAATAGAAACGCTCTGCTGCTTCACCGTCCAATAGAAACGCTCTGCTTCACCGTCCAATAGAAACGCTCTGCTGCTTCACCGTCCAATAGAAACAGAGAGCCTGAAACCTCTAGGCTAATTGATTCCTCACTGCCTTCTGCACATAGCCTTTACTTTGAATAGACCATTGCGGCTGTACAGTTGAGGCAGCAATAACAGAGCAGCGCTGCGGTTTCTCTTCCAGACACCTGCTACATCCTGTCTTTTGCAGTCATCATGCTCAACACCAGCCTGCACAACCCCAACGTGAAAGACAAGCCCAACCTGCAGCGCTTCGTCTGCATGAACCGAGGAATCAACAATGGCGCCGACCTTCCCGTCGACCTCCTCACGGTCCGCTCACTTCCGCCGTCACGGCTCAGAGCACAGCCTTCCTGTTGGTCCCTCCTGCCTTCAGGGGGCGCTGCAGTCTCAGTTTGATCCACACTGACCCGTTCCCTTCAGCCTTACTGAAATAAGCACTTTGAATTCCCCTGTTACTGAAAATGTGCCTCATAAATAAAATCACCAACCTATGACTACAATAGTTAGAATTATGACAATAAATATGCTAAAAGGAAATTGATTCTGGACACATTTGATCAACAGCTGAGGTGTTTTTCTGGTGGGATTAAATTTGGTGAATTTCATAAAACAATAAAAGTATTTTCTAACTTCTCCTCCATCTGTTCCTCCAGAAACTTTACACCAGCATCCGCAGCGAACCCTTCAAGATCCCCGAGGACGACGGCAACGACCTCACCCTGACCTTCTTCAACCCGGACCGCGAGGGCTGGCTGCTGAAGATGGGTGAGTCTGACGCACCGGCGAAGCGCCTCGCTGTGCCGCCGCCGCGTTTCTGACCGTGATTGTTGTCTTGTGGCTCCAGGCGGCCGCGTCAAGACGTGGAAACGCCGCTGGTTCATCCTGACAGACAGCTGCCTCTACTACTTCCAGTACACAACGGTGAGTTTCTGCTTCCAGCAGCAGCTGCTGTGTGTGTGTGTGTGTGACTGTGTGTGTGTGTGTGACTGTGTGTGTGTGTGTGTGTGTATGTGTGACTGTGTGTGTGTGTGTGTGACTGTGTGTGTGTGTGTGTGTGTGACTGTGACTGTGTGTGTGTGTGTGTGTGTGTGTGTGTGTGTGTGTGTGTGTGTGTGTGACTGTGTGTGTGTGTGTGTGTGTGTATCTGGGTGTGTGTGTGTGTGTGTGTGTGTGTGTGTGTGTGACTGTGACTGTGTGTGTGTGTGTGTGTGTGTGTGTGTGTATCTGGGTGTGTGTGTGTGTGTGTGACTGTGACTGTGTGTGTGTGTGTGTGTGTGTGTGTGTATCTGGGTGTGTGTGTGTGTGTGTGTGTGTGTATCTGGGTGTGTGTGTGTGTGTGTGTGTGTGTCTGTGTGTGTGTGTGTGTGTGTGTGTGTGTGTGTTGTGTCTGTGTGTGTGTGTGACGTTTGGTTTGCCCTGCAGGACAAAGACCCGATCGGGATCATCCCTCTGGAGAATCTCTGTGTCAGAAAGCTGCAGGATTCCAGCAAACCGGTAGAGAAACAAACGTCCAACATCAAACTGACCCAAAACATGTCGGCTAAACCTGATTTACCTCTGATTACGGTTCCTCTGTTTCCACCAGTTCTGTCTGGAGCTGTACAGCCCCAAAGGTCAGAAGGTCAAAGCCTGTAAGACGGAGAACAAAGGCCGAGTGGTGCAGGGGAAACACCAGTTCTACCGGCTGAATGCTGCCAGCGAGGAGGAGAGAGACGACTGGATCAGCGCCATCAGGTGAGGCACAGGTCACACACACACACACACACACACACACACACACACACACACACACACACACACACACACACACACAGGTCACACACACACACACACACACACACACACACACACACACACACACAGAGTCCTACCATCCTCCTCTGACTGAAACCGATCAAGTAACTATTAATAATATTAATAAAAATTGTTCATTATTATTATTATTATTATTATTTATTTATTTATTATTATTATTGCTCTTATTATGTATTTTCTGACTCTTAAATATCTGATTAAATAAAATTAGTTTTTCTCAGATTATGAATGAACTCAAACGATGGAGATTCATGCTGATTTATTTCTTTTAAATAAGGAAAAAATCTAAATAATGAGAATAAAATCAGAATCTTCTTTCTCATAATATTACAAGATTAAAGCTGAAATTTTTTTTTTGCTTTTCAAAAAATACACTTTAATTGCAGTTAAATAAAAATAATTCTTTAATTATTTTCTATTATTGGATAAAAGATAAATGTGGGTATTTTTAAAAAGTCAACATAAACAGGAAGTTTGGATTAGATCAAAACTTTAGTTCAGATTAAAAGTCCAGTTTGTTGCCAAAATGTCCGAATTTAAACAAACTGCAAGTTTTGACTTTTGCAGAATCATCACAAACATTTAATGTTTCAGATAATTTAACAATTACTTTTTGTATTTCCTCAGGTGATTTGATCTTAAAATGAGTTTCATGACCTTAAATAATAAATGGAGCAACAGGAGAAACGCAGATCAGTGAAGGTAGAAAATGTTGATAATCACGTTGATAAAATCCGTTTTTTTCCAGGGCGAGCATCACCAAGGATCCGTTTTACGATTTGGTGTCGATGAGGAAGAGGAAGGTGATCAGGAATGTTTCTTCGTCGGACTGAAGCTTCAGGAACGTTTCACAGAAACATTTGGAAGCAGAGAGACAAAGAGGAACCAAGACCAGAACTGAAGAGTCCAAGTCACTTCTGCAAACTGCAGACAGATGGTTCCTGGAAGACGGCGTTAGCGTTAGCAGCATTAGCGTTAGCAGCTTTACCGTTAGCAGCATTAGCGTTAGCATTAGCGCCGTTAGTGTTAGTGGCTTTAGCATTAGCAGGGTTACATTAAACTGACCTCTTTCTCTCCGTGTGAAGGAAATGAACTAAAATGATCACAAAGAAGCTTAGAAAGAAAGAAGCGACGGACAAAATGCAGCGAAGATCCGCAGCTGGAAGCTAAAGGACAAAAACAGAAAAGATGCTGAACGTTGACAGAAAAGTCACCAAGATGCAAAACATGGATGTTCAATGTTTCCACAAAACACAGAAAGTAACAAAAACAGAAATTAAATACCAATAAAGAAGTGAACAGTGATTACAGAGAATGAAGCTACATTTAGCTACTTAACAGTCTGAATATAGAAACACAATAGAAACAATAAAACGTCTTTAAATAACAAGCTGTCAAATATTCTACACATCTGGCTGATTATTTATTCAGTCTGTAACATTTCTTTATACGTCTAATAGAGCTAAAATCTTCTCAACATGTTTAATTTATGAATCGTAGAATGTGTAGTTTGTAATGTTTGTGTTTAATGTGTAATTTAATGATCATCAAACTTAGAGAATAAAGTTTATTTTTTCTCAAAGCGGTTCCCCTTTTCTCCACCAGATGGCGCCGCAGCACCGCCACGTTGAACTGAACTGAAACATGAATTTCTGCTGAAATCTGACTTTTATTTTCTATTTTAACTGAAGTGAAGATGAAGAGAAATCATGAGTACTGGTTTTACTGGGATTAGAAAAGTCCAGTAATTAGAAATGAATGTTTTCCATCCATCTTGTTGCTCCACGTTTCATTTGACTCCAGTGGGAAGGAATCAGTTTTTCCTCCTGGATCTGAAATCATTTGAGTTCATTTCTCATTGCTCCTCATGTACTCACTCAAAAAACATTAAATAATGAAAAAATCACCTTATTTACGTCTTTAAATGCAGATAAAACTATATTTTTCCTCCTGTTCTGGGTGAAATCAGACGCTCTTCCCTTCCTGCTCTGGTTTGTCTTTTTCTATATTTTTGGAGCCTTTCTTTGCACATCCTCCGAATCTACAAATTATGGATCTGGTCAACCGGTCTCTCAGTTCAATTGGTCAAATTGTCTCTGCAGTGTGTCCCTGCCTCCTGTCCTGCAGGGACACACACCCGGCGTGATTCGCCCTGAATTTATTCACGGTTACAGGATTCCTGCTGTTTGTGGCCGACATCGCGTTGAGGACAGAGACGTAGGTTGGACATGAGGACAGAGACGCAGGTTGGACATGAGGACAGAGACACAGGTTGGACGTGAGGACAGAGACGCAGGTTGGACGTGAGGACAGAGACGCAGGTTGGACGTGAGGACAGAGATGCAGGTTGGACGTGAGGACAGAGATGCAGGTTGGACGTGAGGACAGAGATGCAGGTTGGACATGAGGACAGAGACACAGGTTGGACGTGAGGACAGAGACGCAGGTTGGACGTGAGGACAGAGACACAGGTTGGACGTGAGGACAGAGACGCAGGTTGGACGTGAGGACAGAGACGCAGGTTGGACGTGAGGACAGAGATGCAGGTTGGACATGAGGACAGAGACGCAGGTTGGACGTGAGGACAGAGACGCAGGTTGGACATGAGGACAGAGACGCAGGTTGGACGTGAGGACAGAGACGCAGGTTGGACATGAGGACAGAGACACAGGTTGGACGTGAGGACAGAGACACAGGTTGGACATGAAATGGATCTGGGAGAAACTGCTGGTTTCAACTGAGACGAATCAGAGACTTTAGAAAAGATTACAAGTTTTTTTATTACTTCAGTTGTCTTTGACATTAAACAAGAGTTTAAATGATATGTTTGTTGTTATTTTTAAATATATAACCTGACATGTCTTAGATGTTTTTTATTCATTTTTCTGTTTTTTGGATGGCAGCTTCATGGAAAACTGCAGAAAGCTCAATTTGCTGTTTTCTTCATAATATTCTTTGTTCCTTTATAATTAAATTTACTGAAGAAAAGTAAAACTCAGGATAAATCTGATCATTTTCAGATTCTTGATGCTCATATTTTCATTGATTGAAGGACGTGGAGAAAGTTTTAGTCAAAGTTTTTTGTCTTTTATTCATTTTCTGTCATAAAGTTGTGATCATTTCAACTCCATGTGCTGCTACACTCACATCGTTCAGTAACACCGACTGCACTACACACACTGATCACCTTCCAGTCTCCACAGCAACCAGGTGTAGCATAACACACCAGGTAAAGTTTAGGCTCCAGAGGAAATGATGGAAAATACTGACCAGTGGAATAATTTAAAATAAACTACAAAATGTAAAAGTGTCGGCTGAATCTGCCCAGCCGGAGTTTGGCTTCAGAGGTTTTCTGTTCAGAAACGGTTCGTCTGTCGCAGCTCATGAAACGTTTCCGTAAAATGTTGCAGGTACTGTTGCAGCGAGGCGATTCGTCGAGGCGATTCGTCGGCGCTGCGAGGCGATTCGTCGAGGCGATTCGTCGAGGCGATTCGTCGAGGCGATTCGTCGAGGCGATTCGTCGAGGCGATTCGTCGAGGCGATTCGTCGAGGCGATTCGTCGAGGCGATTCGTCGAGGCGATTCGTCGAGGCGATTCATCGAGGCGATTCATCGAGGCGATTCGTCGAGGCGATTCGTCGAGGCGATTCGTCGAGACAATTCGTCGAGGCGATTCGTCGAGGCGATTCGTCGAGGCGATTCGTCGAGGCGATTCGTTGCAGCTCTTCCTCTCAGGACTGGATGCAGTTCTTTCTCTGATGCCGCCGGCGGCTTTTCAGTCCTGGAGAAACAAAAAGAGAAACTTTACTTGAAGATGGAATCAGTTTTCTTTTCTTTACTGGTGAAAATGTCCAAGCTCTCGTTTCTGTGACCTTTAACCCCTGATGTGCAAACAGGTGAGTTTTCGTACCGTCTTGGTCCGCCGGGCCGATGTTCTGCAGAGAAACGCTCCTCTGGATGTTCTTCTGCGGCTTCTTGGGTTTGAACTTCAGCGGTTTCTCCTGAACCTCGAACGAATCCTCCGGCTCGTTTCCTGCGACGCCACTGGCCTCTGGCGCCGTCGCCACGGGGGCGGGGCTCGGAGGAGTGGCCACGCCCTCCTGTATAGTCTCTGCGCTGTGATTGGCTGCTCTGTTTTTCAGGAAGTTCCTGAAGGAACTGCGCGGCTTCTTCACGGCGGCCGCCTCGCTCTTCCTCACTCCGCCGCGCCCGTCCTTCTCCTCTTCCTCGGCGGTGGCGCTCGGACTCGGTGAGGACACTCGGCCCGCCGCGTCCCCGTGTCGCTCGGCGTCCCTCTGGCTGGTGCCACCGAGCAGCAAGTGTCTCTGGGTGGACAGGTCCTGCAGCGAGCCCGTCAGGCCCAAGCTGTTCCCGAACACCAGCGAGTATTTGGGGTTGTGGTATTTGTGCGCCGGCACTTTGAGGTCCACCTGTCTGGAGTTGCAGACCGACACCTGGAAGCGGGACGCGGAGACGGGCGCCGGCCGGAGGTGCTCCACCCGGGGCGCCAGGACCGGAGTGGGCAGCGGCGGCTTGCTGATGTTGAACTCCTTGTGCAGGTCGACCGGTTCCGACACGGCGTACATCTCTCTGAAGTCGCTGTCGAAGAAGTCGACGACCTGACCCGTCATCACCGTGACGACGCTCCGGTCCAAACGAGACGAACTCCACGTGAAGCTGGAGGTTAAAGCCAGAAATGAGTCCAGAAATCACAAGCAAATTATCACTATTAGTGATGACATTATTGTTTTGAGACAATTCTCTGTAATTATTATAGAATAATGATGAAAGATCAATAAACTTTCAATTAATGAACATTTAGCCCTGGAACATGAACATGTTTTAAATATACAAAACAAATAAAACTAATAAAATCTATTGTGAAGTTAGCAAAATAGCCCATCCAAATTGTTAGCGTGAGAATATTAGCCTTAATAAGGTTAGCATGAGGATATTAGCATTAATAACGTTAGCAAGAGGACAGTAGCATTCGCAACGTTAGCATGAGGACAGTAGCATTCGCAACGTTAGCATGAGGATATTAGCATTAATAACGTTAACATGATGATATTAGCATTCATAACGTTAGCATGAGGATATTAGCCTTAATAAGGTTAGCATGAGGATATTAGCATTAATAACGTTAGCATGAGGACAGTAGCATTCGCAACGTTAGCATGAGGATATTAGCATTAATAACGTTAACATGATGATATTAGCATTTATAACGTTAGCATGAGGATATTAGACTTAATAAGGTTAGCATGAGGGTATTAGCATTAATAACGTTAGCATGAGGACAGTAGCATTCGCAACATTAGCATGAGGATATTAGCATTAATAACGTTAACATGATGATATTAGCATTCATAACGTTAGCATGAGGACAGTAGCATTCGCAACGTTAGCATGAGGATATTAGCATTAATAACGTTAACATGATGATATTAGCATTCATAACGTTAGCATGAGGATATTAGCCTTAATAAGGTTAGCATGATGATATTAGCATTCATAACGTTAGCATGAGGATATTAGCCTTAATAAGGTTAGCATGAGGACAGTAGCATTCGCAACATTAGCATGAGGATATTAGCATTAATAAGGTTAGCATGAGGACAGTAGCATTCGCAACGTTAGCATGAGGATATTAGCATTAATAACGTTAACATGATGATATTAGCATTCATAACGTTAGCATGAGGATATTAGCCTTAATAAGGTTAGCATGAGGATATTAGCTTTAATAACGTTAGCATGAGGACAGTAGCATTCGCAACGTTAGCATGAAGATATTAGCATTAATAACGTTAACATGATGATATTAGCATTCATAACCTTAGCATGAGGATATTAACCTTAATAAGGTTAGCATGAGGATATTAGTATTAATAACGTTAGCATGAGGATATTAACCTTAATAAGGTTAGCATGAGGATATTAGTATTAATAACGTTAGCATGAGAATATTAACCTTAATAAGGTTAGCATGAGGATATTAGCATTAATAACTTTAGCATGAGGATATTAGCATTCATGAAGTTAGCATGAGGATATTAGCATTCATAACGTTAGCATGAGGATATTAGCATTAATAAGGTTAGCATGAGGATATTAGCATTCATAAAGTTAGCATGAGTCGCTAACCTGTAGGAGCCGAACATGACCTTTTCCCCGTCCACCAGCATGTATTTGGAGCAGAGCGAGCCGGGCAGCTTCCCGAAGGACAGGGCTAACCCTGCGCCTTTCACCATCCGCACACGCAGGTTCTGCACACACACACACACACACACACACACACACACACACACACACACACACACACACACACACACACATGATTACACAGGTGAAATATGTGATTACACACCGCCCTGAGTCAACACACACACGCACACACACACACGCGGACCATGTGGGAGGAGGGTTTCTGGGATCCGTTCTCAGGAACAAAGACTGTTCCTCTGAGAGAAACCGAGCCCTGAAAACGGAGCCGAACCGGGTCGCTGCGCTACGACCCGGCCCAGCAGCGCTGGGAAACGCTGCAGGCTGCAGATAAGGCCGGTTTGGTTTCAGATCAGATGTGAGAGGATCAGAGAAACGCTCTTCCTCCTCCAGAGGAAACAAACATCCTAGAAGCGTTTAACCAATACGTCTGGAGGAAAACTTCATACAAAAAGTGAAATATTAAATTAGATCATCAGAGGAAGGTTTAACTGCAGCAGAGGAAGAGGAGCCGGTGGTTTGAGTCCTGCTCTGTGTGCGCGGCTTGGCGTCTCACCCTCAGGTGCATGGCGTTGATCTGCAGCCGGGAGCTCATGTCCAGGAAGTGGGGAACACCGCGGGTCTCCAGCACCGCGTACACCGCCACACTGCGCCGCGCCGCCGCGTCCAGCAGGTCCTGGAG